TTCCACTCCGCTCTCTCGCCCTCCAGGATCTCGTGGTCGTAGATTTCTCCATCTCCACGTCTCTTTCCTGCTGTAGTGAAGGTCTGATTCACCGCCACTTGCTCCTGGTCCACCTTGAACTCGGTGTACCCTTTCCACCAATTTCGCGTAGGCCGCTTGTCGTCCAGCCAGCTCCATTGGTCCTCCTCCATGCGCTCGGTTGCATCAACGAACTTCATGAGGGACTTCCGTTCCTTGAAGATTGATCGAAGAGGAATCGGACACTGCTTCACATCATCTAGCCTTCCTTTCTCGCACATGATGCCGCTGCGAGACACCTCTGAGAGCGTCGTACACCCAGTAGTCTTCCCCGGACTCGATGCTCTCCGCCTGGATCTCCTCCTCCATGCCAAAGAACACCTCACTGACGTAGGGAGCTGCCAGATGCGTTCTCCACCGTGCACCTCGTTCAGATCAATGGGGCCCACTGCTTCCGGTAGACGGTATCCCGTCCATCGTATCGTTCATCTCCAATGCCTCCTTCTCCAACCGCGCCCGAGCTCCGGCTTCCTCTGCCTCCGGTTCTGGTTGCGACTTGGATTCCTCACTCTGCGCATTCTCCTCGCCTTCCATGTCCTCCGGGACTGGTGGAAGTTCTGGCTGAACATCTTCTTCAAGTCGCCGTAGCGTCCGCCACTTCGAGCTCCTCATCCATTTCTCCAGGTTCACCTGCTTGTGCTCGAGCTTCTACCTCCCGGTTCCTCTTCCGGCACATCGCGCGTCACATCGCGGTATCCAGGTCGATGAGGATTCCGCCTCAACCGCTCTTGCATCTCCTGGAATGACTCTGCCACTACCTCTGCTCCCAGCCGTTCCTCTTGTGTTGCATCCCGGACCTGTTCCTGGGCAGTACGCCAAAGCTCCCCCATCATGTTGATCCAAACCACTGCTCCTTCCATGCTCAACACGGTGCCTGGCCCGGTCCACACTGCCTTGCGGGTGATACGGCCTCCTCGCCGTCAACCCTTCGCCTTTCTCTCAAGATCCGGTACACATACACAAGATCTCCGGGTTTCCAGCTTCTCTGGGTCCGTGGCCTCGCCCTCATAGCACGCCTTGCAGCATCGCGCGAGTTCGCCTTGACAAATGCTTCTTGAGCCACCTCCCTCATCTGAAGCATCTTGATGTACTCATCGGAGTTGTTCAGCGACTGCAAAGTGGGATCGATAGCTTCGTCGCTCATCATAGATGAAGGCACCCTGGGCCACTGTCCAACTTGCCTCTGCGTAGGGCTGAAGCCAGATCGATTGCTAAACCTGTTCTTTGCAGCCTCGATCTCCTGCATCAGCCTCAGAAGCTCTGCATGACTCCCTGGTGGCATTGACTCCCTCGCGTGAGCCAGCATCGTCTTGTAGAGACCTCCATGTCGTTCGACTCGTCCCTGCATCCATGGAGCTTTGCTTGCCGTCTTGAAGACCACTATCCCAGCGTCAGCGCATAGCTTGCTAAACTCTGCTTTGAACTCCGTGCCCTCATCCACCGTGAGATACTCAGGGACGCCAAATGTCCGGAACCACGTTTTCCACAACGCCCTGAACACGATCTGCGGCTCCTTGCTCTCCACCACTTCGATCATCTGGTAGTTCGTGCCCAGATCCACCATATTCAACGCAGGAAGTAGTGGTGCCAACCCCAGTGCCACTCCCGGTCTATAGGTCTTCGGCACCACCGCTGGCCTTGGCGCTTTGGGAAGTGGATGCGCTTCGCATTCTGGACATCGAAAGTTTTTCTGCACCCACTCAACGATCTCTTCTCTCACGCGCCCTGCGCGTAACATCCTGATGAAGGCCAATATATTTGGGTGACCGAGGTTCTGGTGCATCTTCATGATCTTGCCCTGCTCCTCCTTGGTCACCATCGATGGAATTCTCGGTCCAGGCCCACGCACTCGCTCTTCTTGACGTAGATCTTCTTCTAGATCTCCCACATCTTCCTCCGCAAAGGTGTACTTCTTGGTGTCCTCCTCCTCGTGGTAGCTCCCAGCGAACCTAACTACCTTCTTGCGTCGGATGTAGTTCTTCAATCCTTGGGCGATCGCGATGCACAACTCCTCCGGGTATATGGCTGCCTTGGCTGCCTTTCCCGACAACAAGGGGACATGTGCATGTGAGTGGTCACACCTTCGATCCAGTAGTTGAGCGATCTCAGGGCAATTGGTGATCCACTTCGTGGGCTTCTGATTGTACCCTTCTTGGTCATTCCCGTGCACACACATCTTGAAGGCGCACATGTCGTTCTTTACGGTCTCGACTCCCTCAATGCCCATCAGCTCCATGATACACTTCTCGTCCCAGGCAAGAGAACCCACCGGATTCTCCAGCGCGAAGAGCCTCCCTCGCCTCATCTGCCATTTAGCCACTGCCGCCGCGACCTCCAGGTGTTCAATGCCCGTGCATATCATAGTCACTGCCTGCTCCCAGTTCATCTTGCCGTAGTTGAGGTTCTCAAGTTTGCAGAATGCCGTACATGGAGGGCTGAGCACTATCAGCAGAGGATCATCCTCCTTCAATTTTCTCCACATCTTCTTCCGATCCTCCTCACACCCCAGGTCGTAGCCCGTGATCTTGTCGACCGAAACTCCAGTTGACAGCCCAAGCTTCTTTGCCACAGTTGTCACACGCGGTGGTGAGTAAACCTCCGCCACGTCCACCGCAAACGCCTCGGTCACCTGGTTCATGCTCTTTCGCAGCCTCTTTCTCACGTGCCTGTTGAGTGACACTTCGTCTGGACTCTCCACCATCTCTTCCAGCACGTAGCGTCGAGTGGGCGCCACCTCCAGGTAGACGCCGTCGTTCTTCTCCGCCAAGTTCTTCACCGTGAACCAGCCGTTCTCCATGTCCATGATTCCTTCTGCCTGCTCCCGGGTAGCCACCCTGCACCACTGTTTCATCGACTCCGGCTTGGGCTCTTTGACAACTTCCGTACCGTCATCCTCCTCGCTGGTGCTACTCCTTGACTCGCTAGTGCTTGTTGATCCTGAGGTATCAACTTCCATGGGCTGCCCTCGTTCATCGTCTCCACCTCGTCGACCTTCTCCATGTCGTAGTCCTCCATGGTCTGGGAGCGTTGCATCTCCTCCACAGCTCGTACCACCTGTGTCATCCTCTCCATCTTTCTGCTCAGCCGGCGAACCTCCTCCTTGTAATCCATGATCTCCAGCTGGTCCTCGAGCTTCCCCGCACCCTTGGACTTTATCTCCTGGCCCATGGGCTTGTCCTGACTCGGGTTCTTCACGAAGACCGGCACCTTGTCCTCCTTGAGCTTCGCCTTGATCTCCGCCGATGACATCTCCGTTCGCCACCTGGCATTGCACAGACTGCACACCACGTATCTCATGTGCTTGTTGCCACCGCCCTTCAGATGGTGGCTGGGATGCGTGCAGTCGCTCTCCCTCTTCTTCGGCATCTCCTTGGTCTTCAGCGGGGTGAGCTTCTCCGCCGACTCGATGAGCTGTCCGTAGACATCGCACAAGCTTGTCCCAACTGATTTCCGGTATCCTTCCATCTCTTGCAAAGGCCCAATAGAGAGCCATCCGGACACCCATTCGTGAAGTCCCACGTACTGCACCAAGTCGATGTATCGGTCCATCATCACTCTCCATCCCCGTAGAGCTCGTCGTGGGTTGTGGTAGTGAACGTCCTTCTTCTCGGAGACGTCTTGCCTTGCCGCCGGAGTGAGTCTCGATTCCTACCAAGGTCAACGGCATTGCTCTCGGGAGGAATCGAATTGGGTCGCTTTCCGGGCATGAGGCTTGTGCCCAGAAATACTCCGGGATTCACAATCCTGAAATCTGAGTCACGGTAGCCCACTGCTGTGTCTGGAATCTTGAAGCCCCCAGGACCAAAATCAAGCACATCGACTGTCACATGTCCGCATGGAAGTTCATGGAGTTCGCCCATTGATTTGCAGTTCAAGGGTCATGGTCACGAGATTGATGGTTGCCCCAATCTGACGAAGCAACTTGATCGGCAAAAGAAGTGGGACCGACTCCTTCACGACGGTTGCCTCATTCGGAACTTTCCCTAACGTTGTCGGGTTCCCTTCTTTGCGAACAGTGCGTAGAATAGAGGCCGCCCTGCAAGGTGCCTTTGACTGTGCCTTCTACGGGGCTTGGCTGCGCCTTGCATAGGAAGGGCCTTGTCTCTTGGACGCGCCTTGGCTTGGGCCGCGCCTTGGATTGTCTCTTGGATGCGCCTTGGCTTGCTCCTTGGAGAGAGTGCGCTGGGGCGGGCCTGGGGGAATCAAGCCTGGTGCTTTTTTTGGGAACGGTGTCGTTTTGCGTAACGGGAAAGAAGATTCCCAACGTTGTCGGGCTCGGAACTTTCCCTAACGTTGTCGGGTTCCAAACTTTCCCTAACGTTGGCGGGTTCCCTTCTTCGCGAACAGTGCCTAGAACAGGTACCAGCTAATCCCAGAGGTCTGGCCACGATCCCTAAAACATGAGCTTTGCCTCCAACACCCTGAGCACGTCCTTGTTTGCCGGTCGAAGTCCATGCTTGTCCAACGCACACTGCAAACTGGCCAAAGCTCTCTCGCCCAAAAGACAATCCTGTGCAGCAGTGTCTACCACTCCCTGCGCTGGTTGAGTTGTAATCCCGCAAAAACAATCGTCCCCATCTGATTGTCCATGTTGTCTCATCGCGCACGATGAATTCCCCTTCTCAACCGCACATGGAGATTCAACCTCAGGCTTGCATTCACTCACTGGCCTCCACATTTGCGCTGCTTCGGCCTGCGGTGTCCCACCGAAAAATTTGTTGACTGTTCCCCCAGTCATCAAACAACTACTGAAAACCGAATGCCCCGGCTGTCCTTCCGCATCGTGTCTGTCTCCAACTGCACAAAACCAGCTCCGGCTAGATCCCGTGTTGTTCCCGTACTCGAAGGTGGGCCTCCTCCAGCCTGCATCTTGGCCTGGTTCTCCAAGCCGCGCTTGTCTGGGGCCGCTCGGCACTCCCGAGCCCAATGGCCTATGTTGCCACACCTTGCACAGCGGGTCCGCAATTTGATCTGCTCGATGTGGACGCGCTGGAGTCCTTTGCCTTTGCTCTTTCCTTTTGAGGAGCCCCCGCGCCCTTTCCCAAAGACTGGCTTGTAGTACTGCCGCCCCTTCTGTTGAGCGTTGATCGCCTCCCGCACCTTGTTGTAGGTGGTGAGAGCCAGGTTCACCTCGTCCTCTTCATAAACGTTCTGAAGCGCTCCTTCTTCAAGGTACACATACTCCTCGTCGCTCTGGCTGTACTCCTCGCTCTCCAAGCCACCCACCGGTTCCTCAGTCACCTCGAACTCGGCAAAAGTCTCGTTATACAGCCTCGTCTTGCCCTTGTCATCCTTTATCACCTTGTCGAGCTTCCTGAGCGCACCAACCACTTGGCCCAGCTCGAAACTGTTATTGGTCCATGTGGTGAGCTTCATCTCCTGGTTCTCGGTCAGCGAGGCCTGCCGGTAGTAAATATAGCCCTGTGCCTGGCTCGGCAGCTTGACACCTTCTTTGCTCAGACGAGCAAACCCCTTCTCCATCCTGATGAGGTACTCCTGAAAGTCCTCCTTGCTCTGCCGCACCTGCCCGTAGATAGCCTGCTCCAAGGCTCTCGCCAGACTCACCTCCAAGTGAAGTTTGTAGTGCTCCCTCAAGGCTTTCATGATGTTGTTCAGCCCTTCCTCACATGCAGTCTTGTCGAATTCCAGCGCATCGGCAACTGCTCGTGCTGGACCTGAAAGACCCCTCAAGAGCCTAGCACCTCTCTTCTTCAGCTCCACCTCCGTCTCAAACTCCCACAACTTCACGTCGCGCTCGAAGCGCTCAAACTCCTGGTGAGGCGACCCACCATCCCAACTAGGCGGCGGAGCCTCCTTCGAGAAGCCCTTGTTCTCCGCCTTCTCCGACCCTTCGGCCATGGCGCGCCCCCGGATCACCGCCGAGGGCTCCGCTACCACTAACGAACGAATGCTCGTCAGCGGCCTATTTTGCTACGCATGCGGGGGCTCCCGCCCGGAGCCATGTGGCTCTGGTCATGAAACCTCAAGTCTGCACATGATTCAAGGGCGAGAGGCCTGTACTCCATTTCACACTTATTACAACAAACTGTCCCCTAATATTTTTAGCTAGGGGGTAGCACAAGAAGCACCAAAAATATATTGTTTAGGGACCCCAAAAAAAAGGTTCCCCCACAACAACCCACAACCCCCAGAACCTTCCTTTCCCAGGTCTTCAATTGGAAACTCCCTGCTAAGAAACTCCCTTTCTAACTGCCAAACCTACGAGGCCCAACCCTACTTACAAACAACACGAATCAAAAAGACAAACTAATACAAAATCAATACTAAACCGAAGCTCCAAAAGGAATACACACCAATACTGGCTTTTCGAAAGGAATACAAGCCAATACTAAACTAATACTAAACAAAAGGCTCCAATAAGAGAACACACCAATACTAAACTAATAGGAGAACAAACCAAGACTAAACTAATACTAAACCAGGAGAACCCCAAACGAATACTAAGCAATTCTAAATCAGTTGAATCCCCAAAAGGGGGGTGGGGGGGTGGGGTGCGGGGGGGGGGATTAATCAGGTTGACATTAAAGGTTGCATGGGTTCGGTATAAGTCTCGTATGCATGTTCATTCTGGGGTTTGGTTGGGATTGAGATATAGTCACATACCCAAATGGACAAATGGAGACCCCCTTCGGGACTCAACCCGAAGCACCAGTTCCCGGGCAACCAAACTCGATGGGTGGCCCCCGCAACTGATCAAGTAGAAGGCTGGGCTGTGTCTAAAAGACGGGGGGACCCTTTCTACAATGTTCTTACAGAAGTAGCTCCCCCCTTTAAAGCAAATTTGGATACCCCCTGCTTGGCTGCCTTCCAACCACCTAGCTTTTTGGATGGTTTTTAAATGAAACCAAAAGGACACCAACCAATGGAGGCATCCCAATTTTGAGACACAAGGCAAGGTCATTGTCAACCCTCAACCCAGGATTTCAATCTTTGAAAATCTTTGAAACCATCATCGTTTTAGTCCAGGGACCAAATTTTGTAACATGGCACCAAACGTTGACCCAGGTACAATCACTAACTCTTGGTTGACGTTGGAAGGGGAGCAAACCAAAAAAACCAGTTAAGTCGGGATTTCCCACTAAACCAGAACAAGAAAAAATGTAAAATGTTTCCCAACAACAACCATAAACTTGACAAGAGATACCCAAAGTGAGTTGTCCAGTCGACAACACACCATCCTTCGCGTTCTTGTGAGGCCTAAGGCCGCCAAGGCTCAGGAGCGCCATCTGCAGGGCCGTGCTGACCTAGCGAATCCGAGTGCTTCCGGGTGACCTGGAACCGAGAAAGGCAAACCATGTTGTCCCTTCAGAACTTCAAGGAAGCCGAGAGTTGCCGACCGAGCCCGTGCGCACTGTCCCATCGCACCCACCCTTCTTTAGCCGGGTTGTTTAAAATGGGGGCGGATCCGTCCCAACCCGCAATCCCACTACATCTTGAAACCGACCCTGACCGACCTTGCAGTGGGATTGCGGATTCGGATTTGGGATCTCTCGCCCATTTCAAACCAAAGTATTCACTCACAGGCCAAAAACTTCTGAGAAAGGCCATCCTCACGCAGGCACCTTTGAAGAGCCAAGTGTGCGGCCAAGCCGGGAACCCCCAGTGAACATCCGATTCAATCCCCACTAAAAAATAGACTAAAATGGGTGGTGCACCTACCCCAAAATGGTGCCATTGGTTTTGACCAGCCATCCGGTCCACTCGATGGCCTGCTTGCCCTCTTCCTCTGCGCGCTTGTTCAGCGTGGCCACCAGCCCGAAGGGGATGGCGAAGGAGCCCGTCTCCGGCATGATGGAGAGCACGAAGCAAACGCTGGCCTTCCCGGAACTCCGGTGCGCGAAGAAGCCCACCATCGCTACTTTGCCGTTTCTTGGCAGTGGATTGTATGACATGTGTTTAACAAGACCAACACCCCCAAAAAAAAAGAAGAAGAAGAAGAGGCAACACCTGAGGTCTGGGCCCAAAATCTGTGCAACACCCAACTTGCAAACATGATGACGCATTCTGATGCCAAGCAGCCAGTTGAAGCTATCCAACTGATTCCAAGTGGCTATAGCAGGGCTAATTGCAAGGAACAACAATGCGGAAGTCTCTTTCATTGTTTGGTCTCGCAAGTAGGCGGAGATGGATCTCAAAGGACGGCAAACTTACTCAGGAAGCCTCCTTCATGTTTCATGTTTGCTTTGGGCAGTGTGTGCTAAACAACCCATTGGACAGCTAGAAACAGGGGATGGACCATCTTTCTCATTCTTGGAAGACCAAGACTTGGACTTGTCTCTCCAAACACGCCCTTTCAAGTAGACTGGGCCTCTGTTTGTCATGAAGCCAGTTCTTGACATAACACCCAGCTGTAGCATTTAGTAAGCAGGCTCTCATCTGGTCCCTCCCTCCCAAGCTTCTAGGGGTTGATTCCCCATTCTTTTCAACCATCCTTCTTTTCAAAAACCAGCTGCTTCCCCGGGTTTTTGATGGTTTCCTGAAAAGATTCGGATCCCTGGAAAGCATGGGGAAGGTAGCCCTACTATACAAAGCTCCATCATCTCCGAGCCGCGAAGACGGCGGCGTGGCCCACAGCGAAGCCAGCCAAAAAGCTGACTACGGCGCCCACGAGGATGCAGGGGGCGTAGATGTAGCGGGGTCGGAGCTTGGTCTTCATGAGGATGGTGATGATCCTCGGGCGAGGTCAACAAAAATCACCCAGGCCACCCCCACCCCCCCTGCCGCTGGAAGGGTTTGGCCAGGGCATTCATAAGCTTGTGGCGGGGTGACCAAGCACAGCTGCTAGTTTTCAACCATGGCCATGCATGGTAATCAGTCTGAAGCAGATATCAACCAAGCAATGTCAGGGCCGATTCGACAGAGAACGTGGAAGGCGGGCAAACAGCGTATCCCTTTTGTTGCAATGGGCCCAATTGGCTCGCAAACACACAACACGCAACATGTTGATCAGCACATTCACCGATGCTTGTTTTGACCTGTCGCTTCATCAAGAAAGCAACCGGATGCGATCGAGTTGTTGACTTGGAAAGTGTCTGGAAAGGCCGCTCAGGCTTGCTCTTGGAGGCTGTGGACGATCGCTTGCCAAAGATCAGTGGCATTGACTCCACCCCTAGCCCCGGAAGTCATTGTTCCATGCTGTTTAATTGGGTTAAGTTTATTTTCGTAAGGATTCAGATGGGTGCCTGGGGTTTTCGCTTGGGAAACCCTTGGGTTGCTTTCAGGAACAATGTGGAATTCAAAGGGTCCAATGCCGGGCAAATAGCCTCGAATTCTGAAAGGGCCAAAACCACAGGGATGTGTAATTCTTTCACTTGTCCAGACGGGTTTGACACAAATTTTCAATTAATGTTTGCCATGCTCGGATGGGCACAGCGGAAACCGTAGCTAAAGCGACACAAGGTAACCGTCAACAAGTTGTACGTGGCTTGGCTTGTGGTTCACTTACCATTTGAACATTTGTTTACAATGGTTTTGGGGACCACAGGGTCGACGCAGGAGGAGCTGCGGCCTGGACTGTCTGAATTCTGCTTTCGTTGCATCGTCGAACCCCGGGCAGGCAGGCAGGCAGGTCTTGACCATATGCCTGTGGCAAAACCCTGTACCCTAGTGAACGTCAAAATAGGTGGCACATGGGTGTAAATGGAGGCATAGGTTATGACCCATGGGCCATATCTGCCAAGTGGCACCAGCGCAGAGATCAGCTGAAGGCCTGAGCGCATCCTCGGGTGCACCGGCGAGGACTTGCAGGGGTTCCCGTCTGACAGCACCCAACCTAATTTAAGAAAATAGTATTAGTATGGGAAGCTTAAATGAAAAAGATGCAAACCAAGTCAAAATCAACAAATTTAGGCTAAAGGAAAAACAAGCACCATGCACGCAATGAAAGCTACCGGACCTGCCACACGTATGCAACCAGGTGATCTCGGCCACTGCATTCAAAGTTGGCCTCAAAGTGATTTCAAGAACAGCAGCCAAAAGCAGGAGCATGGTGGGCGCTTGCTCAATCCACGGCCGCTGTGAATGAATGAAGGCAAGGTGGTGCTTCAATTGCCTGTGAGCTGCTTGTCTGAGAGCCACTTGACATTCTCGTCTCCCCAGGTCAATCAGCCCATGGCCATGCAGGTTGAGAGCACCATGGGTTGTATTCCTCTTGGGTCCACTTACTCGCCTGGGTTTCTCAAAGGAGTCCCGAATCACCAACCAGCTGCTTGCAAGGCTCTAGTCGCCGACCGCGCTTTTCAGAGCTTTAAGGCTGATTTGCAAGGCCAAGCAAGACACCTGCAGCTGGCCTGACAGCACACGTGCTGGACAACGTCGAAATGGGAGCTCTGGCTTCTAGCGGTGCCTTTTTGCAAGGCAACATGATCACTTCGCTGCCATTTGAACCAGTCTCATGTTGAGTCAAGTTGAGTCTAAAGAAATGTATTGGGACAAAATCACACCCGTGTTGAAACGCAACCCCCTGTTGCACAACGATTCTGCTGCTTGCTACTTAACCTTGCGCAAGGCCATGGGAATCTGTGCAAAGATGGTTTTGGACTCTGGGATCTGCTTCAAACTAGGGGTGCCATTAGGGTCCTGTTTGAGGCAAGCTGTTGAAACCACAGTCCCTGTTTGATTTTTCCAAGGGAACTCCACCCTTTTGAGTCTATCTGGGCAATGGACAAACAAAGGAATTCACTCCCCGCAAAACCCGTCATGCCCTGCAACTCACTTGCAAGCACGTGCCTGCCAACAGTTTCGCGTGTGGCTTGCCCACATACGGAAATAACCGAAAACCACTGAAAACCGAAGGAACCGGGTGGCCAACCAAGAGATTCCTGGAAATAATGCTCATTTCAGGTCGATTCGTTTTGGTTGCTTTGACTTCAGCGGCCCCTACGCCCGGATTGCTCAGTCCGGGCACTGGCCACCAGTGCTGAAGGCCTTCATGCCCGCCGCGTACGCGAGCTTCTCCTCTGAGCCCTCCGGCGCGTGCTGGTCGCCTCACGTTTGGGGGAGCTACGGTCCCGCGAAGGCGCGCATGGGAAGTCGCTCAAACATAGGTTTCCTTTTGGGGCAAATAGATGGCCCTGGTAGGTGATTAAACCACCAGGTAAACCAGGGCCAACTATTTTTCTAGCAAAACAATCAAAAAAGGACACCTATGCGCTCAAACCGTGGGGTGCAGGGATACAATTAAAACTGGGGAATCCAAAGGTAGCAGCTACAGTAGGGTTCTTGTGTGTTACAAGTTCTTGCAAGCCTGTAACATAAGCAGGCCGAGCGAGAAGTGTGCAGAATTGCAGTTGTTTTTTGCTTATTTGCCAATATTTAGATATGCATATCCCAAAGTGTGCAAGATAGTCGGTCTTTTGAAAGAAGACTGCATTTTGTTTCTGGGGACATGTACTTCTGCCTCCAGGCGTTTTCGGGGAAACTTGACTTTGTGCTTGACCTTGCAAACTCTCCATGAAGGGAAAATGCAAAGGGGAATGCATCACGTCACCCTTCCCGCCTTGGTACACCGAGTCCGCGAACCACTGGGAGGAGTAGTAGGTCCAGGCAGTGTTGCCGATCCACACCAGGCACTGAACCAAGGCCAAGTGGTAGAGGAGGCATGGCATGCCTGGCATCGAGGCATTGAGGCATCGAGGCACCGGCCACGAATCGGCTCCACTGATCCAGGGGCACGGGTCATTGGAACAGCTTCCCAGCTCATTGGTGGTTTGGAGCTGCTGGGTTGACGAGTTCCCGTTTCCGCTCGCCAGGGGTTCAAAAAATCAAATCCAGTTCCCAATCCAAACAACCAACTAAGGGTATCTAAGGGTTACATAAATGCATGGAAACAACGCTGGTTAATTCTGGAGACATCATGTTTTGCCAAGCTCCACGGCTCGGAGATGGTCACAGGGAGCAAACGTGACTTGATGATTCTGCGCAAACGCCCTCCTCAGGAGAGACCCTTGAGCGTATTCAACCATTTGAATCCCTTTTGGACATTGATTGAAATTTGACAGGTGGCCAATTGGCAGACATAGGCCAACATACGAAGACGCATATTCTCTTGAAGGGACGCCATGGGTCGATGTTAGAGGGATGTTGTGCCCTGGAAATTTCAGGCTGCTCGGCTGGCTGTCTTTTTCACCCGGCCTTTGATGGACTTGAAGACGCTGAGCACAGGCCCGCAGCAGGAGGACTTCTCGCCGGGGGTCTTCTTCAGCGGCTCCTGACGGCACTCGCCAGGCGAGGTGCCTGACGCCCGTTTGGGGCACAACTTCAGGCGGTGTGGCGACCCCTTGAAACCCCACGGTCTTAAGAAAAGCGCCCAACATAAACCACTGCCCATGGCACACAGCCAGCTTGTGGAAATCCGGTTCCTCTTAGTTAACATGTTCCGCATGTTTGGGGGCTGGGTGGGGAGGCAGAAGGGCCCAACCAACGAGAATTGTGCGACAGGATGCCCGGCGCTTAGGGCGATGTGTTGGGATCATTTGCAGGCTAAGCGAAGGTGGCTGCCCAGCAAGCTTCGACTCTGCAAGTTGTTTTGTAATAGTTATATTTGTAGCACGTAGATGTTACGAATGAGCTGTTTGATAAGTTGAACATTGTTTCTGTATTGGAGTGGTTCGATGAATGTGTGTGGGTTGGAACTGTGTGTTTGTGGCAGTAGTGTGTCCTTTGTGTTTGCTTTTTGTTTGATGTTCTTTCTCTAAGAAGAAAGAAACGCATGGTTGGCCTTTTTTTAAATCAACATCAGGGAATCATGTTCAGAACAGTCAAGCAAATACTGTCACTCGCCCGTCATCATTCAATTTCAGATTACTCGTTGCTGAAGTGTGGGACTTCACAAGCAGTCAGCCCCAGCTGTTGTCCTTCAGCCTTCTTTTTGCCCCGGAACCTGAGCCGTCACAACGGGGCAAAGGCCTAAAAAAACCAAAGCAGCACGAAGTACACCCTGGAGACTCAAAAGCCGAAAGGGGCCACTTACGAGGACATAAGGCCGGCTCCTCCGTGGCAACAGCGAACTGGATGCCGATACAGATGGTGTTCAGCGAGCAAATGATCAGCCTCAATGAATACGTGAAGGCCACGCGCATGCGCATGTTCCATCGCCAAAGCCAACTCTTTCTTTCTCTCTCTCGTTCTCTCTCCCGCCCTCTCTCAGTCGCTTTCACTCTGCGAGATTGTAGGTATTGTTATTTGTTTGCTTGTCCTCCGACATTGCTCGGCGTGTCGGACACCTAAGAGAGGATAGAGGATAACCCCCCCCCCTAAATCCCCCCCCCGCCCGACGTCTATTACGTAGTTGTTTTTTTTTTTTTGGGGGGGGGCCGCGTACCGCGCGGCAATTTGATGACGTTCCACTAAACGTAGTCTTCGGGGAGCCGGTGTCGCAAAACAGGGGTCCCAGGCTCGATTCCCCCTGCCGGCTGTTTTGCTGGCTTGGGCTTCCTGCATCCTTTTGCCGAAAATCTGGCAAAACTCTGTGTTTTTGGACATCCTCTCTGCGAAACCCCCGGGAAAACCGTGTATTTTGCGGGAAATGCTGGGGAGCAAAGGGGAAGTGCAAGGATACATACATACATACATACATACAGACATACATACAGACAGACAGACTGACCTACATACATACATACATTACATACATACATACATTACATTACATTGCATTACGTTACATTACATTAAATTACATTACATTACATACATACATTACATTACATTACTTTACATTACATTACATACATACATACATATGTACATACATACATACATACATACATACAGACAGACGGACCTACATACATACATTACATACATACATACATGACATTACATTGCATTACATTACATTACCTTACCTTACATTACATTACATTACATTGCATTACATACATACATACACTACATACATTACATATTACATACATTACATACATACATACATACATACATACATACACACACACATACATACATACATTACATTACATTACATTACATTACATTACATTACATTACACTACATTACATACAACATACATACATACATCCATTACATACATTACATACAATACATACATTACATACATACATACATACATACATACATTACATACATTACATACATTACATACATTACATACATACATACATACATACATACATACATTACACACATACATACATACATACATACTTACAGTACGTTACATTACATTACATTACATTACATTACGTTACGTTACATTACATACATACATACATTACATTACATTAATACATACATACATACATACATACATACATACATACATACATACATACATACATACATACATACATACAGACATACATACATACATACATACATACATACATACATACATACATACATACATTACATACATACATACATACATTACATGCATACATACATACATACATACATACATACATACATACATACATACATACATTACATACATACATACATACATACATACATACATACATACATACATACGTACATACATTACATACATACATACATACATACATACATACATACATACATACATACATTACATACATACATACATACATACATACATACATACATACATACATACATTATACATACATACATACATACATACATACATACATACATACATACATACATACATACATACATTACATTACATTACATTACATTACATTACATTAAATTACATACATACATACATACATACATACATACATACATACATACATACATACATTACATACATACATACATACATACATACATACATTACATACATACATACATACATACATACATACATACATACATACATAATATACATACATAATATACATACATACATACATACATACATACATACATACATACATACATACATGCATGCATACATGTATACACAAATTACATGCATACATACATACATACATACATACATACATACATACATTACATACATACATACATACATACATACATACATACATACATACATTACATACGTACATACATACATACATACATACATACATACATACATACATACATACATACATACCTTACATACATACATACATACATACATACATACATACATACATACATACATACATACATACATACATACATACATACATTACATACATACATACATACATACATACATACATACATACATACATACATACATACATACATACATACATACATACATTACATACACACATACATACATACATACATACATACATACATACATGCGTACATACATACATACATGCATACATACATACAACATGCATACATACACACATACATTACATACATACATACATACATACATACATACATACATACATACATACATACATACATACATACATACATACATACATACATACATACATACATACATACATACATACATACATACATACATACATACATACATACATACATACATACGTTACATACGTTACATACGTTACATACATACATACATACATACATACATACATACATACATACATACATACATACATACATACATACATTACATACATACATACATACATACATACATACATACATACATACATACATACATACATACATAGATTACATACATACATACATACATACATACATACATACATACATACATACATACATACATACATACATACATACATACATACATACATACATACATTACGTTACATACATACATACATACATACATACATACATACATACATACATACATACATACATACATACATACATACATACATTGCATACATTACATACATACATACATACATACATACATACATACATACATACATACATACATTACATACATACATACATACATTGCATGCATGCATGCATGCATGCATGCATGCATGCATACATACATACATACATACATACACACATTACATAAATACATACATACATACATACATACATACATACATACATACATACATACATACATACATACATACATACATACATACATTACATACAACATACATACATTACATACATACATACATACATACATACATACATACATACATACATACATACATACATACATGCATGCATGCATCCATACATACATACATACATACATACATACATACATTAATACATACATACATACATACATACATACATACATACATACATACATACATACATACATACATACGTTACATACATACATACATACATACATACATACATACATACATACATACATACATACATACATAATTACATACATACATACATACACACATACATACATACATACATACATACATACATACATACATACATTACATACATACATACATACATACATACATACATACATACATACATGCACCCATCCATACATTACATACATACATACATACGTACGTACATACATACATACATACATTACATACATACATACATACATACATACATACATACATACATACATACATAAATTACATACATACATACATACATACATACATACATACATTACGTTACGTTACGTTACGTTACATTACATTACATACCATACCATACATACATACATACATACATACATACATACATACATACATACATACATACATACATACATACATACATACATACATACATACATTACATTACATTACATTACATTACATACATACATACATACATACATACATACATACATTCATTACATACATACATACATACATACATACATACATACATTACATACATACATACATACATACATACATAACATAACATAACATAACATAACATACATACATACATACATACATACATACATACATACATACATACATACATACATACATACAGTACATACATACATACATACATACATACATACATACATACATACATACATACATACATACATACATACATACATACATACATACATACATACATACATACATTACATTACATTACATTACATTACATTACATTACATTTACATACATACATACATTACATACATACATACATACATACATACATACATACATACATACATACATACATACATACATACATACATACATACATACATTAATTACATACATACATACATTACATTACATTACATTACATTACATTAC